TTTAATCCCAGCACTCAGGAGGCAGAGGCAGGCGGATCTCTGTGAGTTCGAGGCTAGCCTGGGCTACCAAGTGAGTTCCAGGAAAGGCGCAAAGCTACACAGAGAAACCCTGTCTCGAAAAACCAAAAAAAAAAAAAAAAAAAAAAAAAGGCAAAAGTAGAAAACAAAATGTAAATGGCAGCTCGTTAACCCTACCTTGCTAATTGCATTGAACGGAAATTGCTAGAATAACTAATATATACAATTAAGATCTATGCTTACAAGAGATACGCTTCCGGTTAAAGACACAATGGGTTGGAAATAGAAGCATAGAAGACACACTGCATGGAAGCAGTGAATGGGAAGACAGTTGCAGTGGCTGGAGTAACTGAGACAAAATAAACGGCGAGACTGTCTTGTTAGGGTTTTCATTGCCATGAAGAGATACCATGACCATGGCAACTCTTATAAAGAAAACATTAAATTGGGGTGGCTTGCTTACAGTTTCAGAGGTTCAGTTCATTATCATCATGGTGGGGAGCATGGGGTGTGCAGGCGAATATTGTCCTGGTTACATCTTAGCTTGCAGGGAATAAATGAAGTTGATGGAATCACTGGGCCGTATCCTGAACATAGGAAACCCAAAGCTCACCCCTACATGACACACTTCCTCCAACAAGGCCATGCCCACTCCAACAAAGTCACACTTCCTAACAGCGCCACTCTCTTTGAGATTATGGAGGCCAATTACGTTCAAACTATCACAGAGACAAAGGTTGTTGTTAGAGATAGGTAGGTTATTTTATAATTATAAAAGAAATAATACATGAAGAAGATATAGATTAAATATGAACCTAACAAAAGAGTTCCCCCAAAAAATATAAAGCAAAATTTAGCAAGAGTTTGAGGAAGAGTTAATTAATTCACAAAAATAGTTGGAAGCCTTAGTGGCCCACTTTTAGAAACTAAAGTTATTTGGCAAAATTTTAGCAAAAAAACTTAAACAATATTATACATAAATTAGATGTGTCAGATATCTAAAAATATTTTCCCCACAGGAACAAATTATATTTTTCCTCATGTGTGCATGGAGCATACTTAAGGATGGACCACATTGTGAATTTTTTCTAATTAATTAATTAATTATTTTTAAAAAAATATAATTAATTTAATTTTATATATCAGCCATGGATTCCTCTGTCCTCCTCCCGCACCCCCTCCCGCCCTCCCCCCCAATCCACCCCCCCATTCCCATCTCCTCCAGGGCAAGGACTCCCCTGGGGTTTTAGCTTAGCCTGGTAGATTCAGTGGAGGCAGGTCCAGTCCCCTCCTCCCTTCACCCAGGCTGAGCAAAGTGTCCCAGCATAGGCCCCAGGTTCCAAAAAGCCAGCTCAGGCACTGAGAACAGGTTTTGGTCCTACTGCCCGGGGGCCTCCCACACAGTTCAAGCTAATCAACTGTCTCACTTATCCAGAGGGCCTGATCCAGTTCCACAGGGGCTCCTCAGCTATTGGTTCATAGTTCATGTGTTTCCAATAGTTTGGCTATTTGTCCCTGTGCTTTTTCCAATCATGGTCTCAACATCTCTCACTCATACAATCCCTCCTCTCTCTCTCACCGAATGGACTCCCGGAGCTCCACCTGGGGCCTGGCCGTGGATCTCTGCATCCGCTTCCATCAGTCATGGGATGAGAGTTCTATCACGACAGTTAGGGTGTTTGGCCATCTGATTACCAGAGTAGGTCAGTTTGGGCTTTCTCTTGACCATTGCCAGTAGTCTACAGTGGAGGTATCTTTTTGGATTTCTGGAGACCTCTCTATCACTTTGCTTCTTCCTATTCCCATGGGGTCTTCATTTATCATGGTCTCTCTTTCCTTGTTCTCCCTCTCTGTTCTTGATCCAGCTGGGATCTCCCACTCCCCTAAGCTCTTTTTCCCTCGAGCCTTGCACTTCATTACCCCCACTCATGTCCATGTTGTTCATGTAGATCTCATCCATTTCTCTGTCATTGGGCGATCCCTGTGTCTTTCTTGGGGTCCTGTTTTCTAGGTAGCCTTCCTGGAGTTGTGAGTAGCAGTCTAGTCATCCTTTGTTTTACATCTAGTATCCACCTATGAGTGAGTACATACTATGTTTGTCTTTCTGAGTCTGGGTTACCTCACTCAGGATGATTTTTTTTAGATTCATCCATTTGCCTGCAAACCTCATGATGTCATTGTTTTTCTCTGCTGAGTAGTACTCCATTGTGTGTATGTACCATATTTTATTTATCCATTCTTCAGTTGAAGGGTATCTAGGTTGTTTCCAGGTTCTGGCTATTATAAACAATGCTCCTATGAACATAGCTGAGCATGTGCTCTTGTGGTATGATTAAGCATTCTTTGGATATATGCCCAAGAGTGGTATAACTAGGTCTTGAGGGAGATTGATTGCCAATTTTCTAAGAAAGTGCCATATTGATTTCCAAAGTGGCTATTTTAATAGTTGAAAAAGATTGAAATTATATCAGTATGTTCTCATACTGCACTGAATGAACTTATAAATCAATAACTTAAAGAAAATTGAAATCAATAATCTCAAATAATTAATAAGTCAAAGAAGAAATCATTTGGGAATTCAGAAGCTACCTGACATTAATTAGAATGAAAACACAACCTATAAAAAAAGCTGTGCGACCTATTTAGCAGTATTCTATGACAAAAACAAAGTATATATCTAAGAGCCTATGTTTAAAAAAGGACAAAGATTTCAGTTCATCCAGGATTTCATCTCAAGAAATTAACAAATAATCAACAAAATAAGTGTAAATCAAAAAGAAATAATGAATTGTCAGAAAAAATAAGACAGAATTGGTTTTAATAGAAAACTGACAAAACCTCAAGGTTACTCTTGGGAAAAAACCTCAACAAACTTGACTAAGTTTTGGTTAAACTGAACAAGAGAAAAAAGAAATGACTCCAGTTATTGAAAGAATGAGTGGAACCAAAATTTAAGGAAGTCTGAGGGAATGCTGTGAATAGTTAGATGTGAGGGAGGAAAGCATCAGATGAAATGGATGTTTCTATGAATGTATCATCAAAACTAATTCAAGAAGAAATCTGTGCTAGAGAGGTGGTCACTTAGTAGGTAAAAGTGCTTGCCAAGCAAGTGTGAAGACCCAAGGTGGAATCCCTAGAGCCCCAGATGTTTGGTACAAGCAGCTGCAATCCCTGAGCTCCTGCAAAGAGGTGGGAGGCAGAGAGAAGAGACTCGAGAAGCTTATGGGCCAGCTGCCCTGGTGTATGCAGAAGTCATGATTCTCAAAGCAAGATGGGATTTGAATCAGCACCGAGGTTGCCCTCTGGCCTCCACACATGCACTCACAGACACACATAGAGAAACAGACATGGACAGATGGACACACACACACACACACGGACACACACACACACACACACACACA